GGATGAGGAGCGGACACCTTGCAGTGATCAATGTTACCTCAGGGTATGGCTTTTCCTTTCTTGATGTTTCTGAGGACATGATCTTTCCACTCTTGATAATTTGTTTGTGAACTTCCTGCTTTACAGCATTCTAGTTCTCAATTTACTTTGACCAAGATCTTATTCTATGTGCTATGTTTAACATATTAGTTTTGACATCCAGTGTTCTGTAACTATTATGAAAGCTTCATGTATGGCGTTATGTTAATCTAATGGTTCTTCATATCTTGGAACAGTACAAGTTAAACCCTTTAACTCTCTAGTTTTTTTGCTCATTACTACACTTTTATGAGATATACTGCTATATGCCTGAAACCCACTAGTTTGAGGCTGACTACACCTACCACTTTATTCTTTTTGGTTCTAATCTGAGGCTGGCTGCACAATTGTTTTCCTGGTAAAGTAAAGAGCCTATCTATCATGACTATTATGATTCATATGATCCATATTTTGTTTGGGTTTTGCCTCTGTCCATGGGATTTTGAAGTATGACTTCCATGTCCTTCTTGCAGTTAAGAGGAGGGGAAAACGTTCCAGATGATCCAGATATTGGTGCTCTGCATAGGATGAATACAATAATTTCAGAGAGAGAAAGTGCCCCAGCCTCATCCTTCAAAGCTGAGAAACCAAGTTCTCATGGTAGTACAGACATCATAAACAATGAAAGATGCATTCCTGGAAAAGCTGTGTCTGTCACTTCTGAAGCTATTTATAGTTCAGATGTCATTGCAGGAGGTTTAGAGTTGGATACACATATCATGAGGATGCACAATGAAAATGCAGGGAAGCGCAAGGTTGTAAAGCACAAAGATAAAGTGACAAATGACGTAACTATAGTACCTGATGATTTCCAGGGTTCCTCTAAGAAACAGAAGAGATTAGATGCTTTGGATTTAGTAACTGCAACTAGTGAACCTATCACGGTTCAGGATCACATTTCCGTTTCCAAAACTAGAAACGCGGATGTTGGTTTACCCAATGAAACTGAACTTCAAATGACCAAAAAAGGCCTTCTAAATGAATCTGCTGGGCATACTTCAAAGGAACTTGTTTGTTATGGTAGTGCTTCCTGTGATGAATATACAGACAACGACAGAGATGTAAAACAAGATGTAACAGAAGTGCCTGAACTGAGGCAACCATCCAATTCTACACGAGGACAAGTTAAAGGGGTGTGCAGCAGCTCTGAGTGGAAGTCAGTGGAGAAAGAATTATATATGAAGGGTTTAGAGATATTTGGGAGAAATAGGTAGACCTTTTTTACATCAATATGTGTTACATGGATCCTTCACTTCAGCATGCCCTGCTCATTCTTTGTTTTCTAGGGTAAATTGAATGGATACAGTTTTAGATTTTTGTAAGGCTGTGCAGCTTGTTCACTTAGTTTGGTGCCTGGATTTTGTAGGCTTAGGATGGCATTGTTGTGGGCTGCCTGTTGGTCCACTTTGTCATAACGTCCATTATAATTAATATAACTACTATTTTTCCTACCTAAAAAAAAAGTTGCATGGCTTCTGTGCACCCCAGGTTTACATTTGACATTGCTACTTTTGTTTGTTTTATATGACATACATTATATTTGATTCTTTTCTTTGTACTTAACTGGTAACTCATGTTCTGCAGTTGCCTCATAGCCAGGAACTTACTTTCTGGCTTGAAGACTTGCATGGAGGTGTCCAGTTACATGCATAATGCTGGAGCTTCAATGCCTAACAGATCTGTTGTTGGACCATTTTCATTTATGGAAGACAATGGGAAAGCTAATGTGGATCAGACAGTAAGCATTCCTTTCCTGTTTCTTTTATTGTTTATATATCTCTTTTATTTAGGTGATTGTTTTTAGTAAAACCAAAAAAAGGAAGGTGTTTTGGCAAGGCCTGGGAAACTAGTACTGATTTGTTTCCTGAGCTAGCATGCATATCCTTCCCTTTAGGATCAAGAACAGTGGCTATGATACTCTTCCTATTTGGTTCTGCAGTTGCTAGTCAATCTTTCATCATTTGGCTCTGGAACATAGATTTATGATTCTGTTACCTTTGTTTTACTCATGTTAGGACCAAGAGCTGCCAACAAAGCCACGGTTACTTCGTAGAAGGGGAAGAGCTCGAAGGCTTAAATATTCTTGGAAGTCTGCTGGGCACCCATCAATGTGGAAGAGAATTGCTGATGGCAAAAACCAGTCTTGTAAACTATATACACCATGTGGATGCCAGTCTATGTGTGGAAAGCATTGTCCTTGTCAGCATAGTGGAACCTGCTGTGAAAAATACTGTGGGTATGTTGGAATTGTCCTTGAAATATTTAACTGATGATCTGAAGAAATGCATAAAACCAGTGATGGGATGTTTCTTATAAGTAAAGAAAAATGATGATACTGATAATAATAATAATAATAATAATAATAATATGATAAGAAACACCCTTCCATGCTGCGGGTACGCTGGTTTTATTTTTTTATTATATAAAACAAACAATCCATAGGTGCTGGGCTTTGCGTGTGATCGAAATTTATCCCATAGGAAATGTGAAATACATGACATGTAGAAGGTGCCATCTTGCCTGTATATTTGATCTCTTAAAGCCTCATACAAGGTACTGGATTCATCTTTCCTTCATCAATGTTGGGGGAGAGATGAGTTAAATAGGTAAGGATTCCTACACCCAGCCTTTTGGCTAAAAGAAGAGGAATTATATGCCTTAGTGAATTGCTTCAATCCTGAATCCCACATCAATTAATTTCCTAAAGTTGAGCTTGGTTTCTTCAAATGATTATTAAGTTTGGTTAAGTCCATTCTAACTAAAACAGCTTATAACCGCTTTTTAGATGACTCCACTATGTGAAGTACTCACTAGAAGTTTTTCCATCTGCAAAAGTTTCCACTAGTTGCATACTAGTGAACCTATAATTGAATTGGAAAATGTTTATAAGACCAACTAACTCGTGCATTTTCAGGTGCTCAAAGAGCTGCAAAAATAGGTTCAGGGGATGCCACTGTGCAAAGAGCCAATGCAGAAGTCGGCAGTGCCCATGCTTTGCTGCTGGGCGCGAATGCGACCCAGATGTCTGTCGCAATTGTTGGGTTAGGTAATGAGTTTTTGTATGTATACTTCATTGACTTTGGACACTCTTTGCATGTTATTTACTGCAAAAAGAAAATGTTTGCAATTTTGTTGCACTAGGTAATGGGCTTCGTGATGGAGCTGATTGAGCTGTTTGAATCGTGCACATATTTTCAATTTGAGCTCCAATCTTGTGTTGGGTTCCCAGTTGACATCCTGTCTATTTAAGCATTTCAAAAGTTTCTTTTATTTAATTTTAGTGAGTTTGTTATACTTTTGGCTTTGGTTTTAAATATCAAATACTTTATGCAGTTGTGGGGACGGTTCATTAGGGGAGCCTCCGAGACAGGGAGATGGTCAATGTGGAAACATGAGGCTTCTTTTAAGGCAACAACAGAGGGTGAGCAATTCCTAGTGTTTAATAAATTGCTGCTGTGGTCTACATAATGCACCTTTTGATTTATGATTGCCTACCCCTGTCTTTTTCTTCAGATTCTCTTGGCTAAATCTGATGTTGCTGGTTGGGGAGCCTTTTTAAAGGTTGGAAGATAATGTTGTTTGTATTTGGCTTCCTACTAAATGTTAGCAAATTTTTCTCACCAAATTGAATTATATGATTTCAGAACCCTGTAAACAAAAATGATTATCTTGGAGAGTATACTGGTGAACTCATCTCTCATCAGGAAGCAGACAAGCGTGGGAAGATTTATGATCGTGCAAACTCATCATTCCTTTTTGACTTGAATGATCAGGCAAGGGAAAATTCATGTTTAATATTATTCACTGCTTTCCTTCGCAAGGGTTGCATGGCTCATGGAACCTTTCTCTAACTATCCAAAAAATTTATGAATGGAAGATAACGAAACAGATTTTCTAGTTGACCACACTTTCCTCCGAATGAACATAGGTTCAGCCCTTCTGTTCATATGTTATTCCCCCCCAATTCAGCTTTTGTCTCTTTTCTTTTTCGCTTAGTGCTTTGCAGCTTTTTATTGCATTTTTCATATATGGCAAATATGTAATACCTATAGCTTTACTCTGGCATGAGATCTCAAGGTAGTCACATGTTTACTTACAGTATGTCCTAGATGCTTACCGAAAAGGAGACAAGCTTAAATTTGCAAACCACTCATCGAACCCTAACTGCTATGCGAAGGTAATAAAGCTTCAGTGATTCCCCTGTTTGATTAGTTATTATTGGTTTTGCTAATATGGTGGCCTGCGTAGGTTATGTTGGTTGCCGGAGATCATCGAGTAGGCATATTTGCCAAGGAGCATATTGATTCTGGTGAGGAGATCTTCTATGATTATCGTTACGGACCAGATCAAGCACCTCCATGGGCTCAAAAACCTGAGGGTTCTAAGAGGGATGATTCATCTGTCTCTCAAGGCAGAGCGAAGAAACACCAGTCTCACTGAATGGCAAATTGGCATGGATTGTGATGTATATGAGTATCAACTATGGTGCGTATCTCAACTCTGGAGATTTTATCCACAACAGGTGGGACGAGAATCGTCCTCAAGAAGAAAGCTTCTAGGTGGGTATGCCAGCCAGCTCCCCTACAAGTGAAATTGGCTCTACATGGTGATGTCAAAGCTTGCTTCTTGACTACAGAAAAATTGAACAATAAGGTTGTATTGGCAATGAGTTTAATTTTATAGAATTTATAGGCAATAATAAGCTAGAAATTCTTCTAGCAGTTAGTTATTATAGGTTGGGTTCGACAATTCTGTAGTGAGAGGCATGTCATGATGGTAATAATGGGAATTTGTACAACCTTTTTATTGATATATAATAAAAAGGTCCGAATTGCTTTATTTATCTTGATACTCAACTTATTTCATGGAAGGCTTGCTAAATGCAAAGAATTGTTGGACACTAGTAATAATGGGAGTTGTAGGTCCATGAAAATCCTACTGCTGTAAAGTAATTTTGAGTTCATGACAGAAACCTCTCCAGATAAATGCTGCAAGTAAACTTGAGGTTCAACAAATTAAAACGGGGCATACAGGACTCTTTCAGCTCTGCGCCCTCAAAACATTTATTTTAAAATGAGGTGAAAATCATGGAGAGAATTTGATAAACAGAATGCTGTTCACTGTGTCAGTTACTGCAAATGAAGATATAATAATTCATTCCAGACATCAGGAATGCCAGGAAGACACCAATGACTGCAATCTTGTATGCCCGAAGAGCGTTGATTCCCGTATATAGATGGATGGCCATCTATTCTATATTCTGACAAGCTTGTTATGTTCAACAAAGTCACAGGCGTTTTCATCTGCTTTATCACCTCCTCTGCAATTATATCTTTCTCCTCTGGAATTCCTGAAGGTTGGATGAGGGGTTCATTGGCTTCCGCACAACTCCCGCCTGTATTCCATTGGCCTCCCCTGTTCAGTTGAATGAAGAATTACAACAAACAAACCACTCACTCAGCAAATGATATGCACGCACTAGTTGATCAACATTACACATGCAGTTAGCATAAGAACACATCCAGGAGCGAGGCAAATTAACCTGAAATGCGTCGGCGATGAACTTCGAAAGAAAACTTGGGTTTTGCTTGGATTGACGTGATTATCGACCCATGATGCCCAGGTCATCAAAGCTTTTCTGAGAGCTGTGGAAACATCAAGATGTGGATGAATTTGGCCCCTTTCCTGGAAGAAATTAATCCTGCAGTTATAAGATCCAAATGTCAGGTCAGGATATATTCCAATTCAAGAAATTTGAATTCACTATTAGCTATATATATCACTTATATGTATGTATATTCTGTGATGGAACATGCTGTCGTGCTGTCATTCAAGGTCCTGAAAATTGAGCTCATTAATAGTAGTTCATTATAATAATGGAACCAACTGACCCAGCATTCGTCTTGTGATCGTTCCACCAATGTGCTGTGTTGAATACCAAAATATCAGCTCCTGTCCATTTAGAAGAAGCGCGATCCATCGAATCAATTTGCAAGGTTTTCACCTGCTTCTTCCCTGCTCGTGCCATACCTTGATGAACCAAGAAAGGGGACGTATAAAATTCAACTGTACACTTGTAGTCCTGTGAAACAAAAAGAAAACACTTCAGAATAAGTTTAAATAGTACGACATAATTTACCGGATATGAAACGACAATAGAGAACAAGTATGAAGATTCATTACCACGAAGTTGTAATTATACTTGCCCTTCCCTTGGGTGATTCTGCGCCCTCTTTTAGCTCCCATTAGCATGCACAACATGGATTCCCATTGATTCCTATTGAGTGAATCTCCCACAAAAACTAGCCTTTTCCCTCTCATCAATTCCAGCATTTTTGTTGCATCGAACCTTTATATATAGCATTAGCACGCCAAAAGTATATCGTTAGATTGCAATCTAACTACGTACGTTAATTGTGTTGAGACAAATTAAATACCAAGCTTAAAGAAGGAACTAATTGGGTACCTTGGAATGTCACAATCTTCTGGTTGCCACCTCCACTTCATGAATTTTTCGTCTAATCTTCCATTACCTCGACAATTAAAACTCTTTTCTATGAAGGGACAAGAACCATCTGTGTACAACGGATAGCTCTTATCATAGACCCACCTCCCTCTTGTAAAATCACATCCTCCTTTTATTATTCTCTTTTCTTCAACAAACCTGCTACTTGAAGTTTGAGTATTTTCAAATGAAGTTGCTCTGGTCTTCTTCTTTCCCCTCCTCTTTCTACTTTTCCCTTCGATGTTTTTACTCAACGCAGCATTTTGCTCTTCGGCCTTGTTCAAAAATGGAGCATTTTGCTCTTCAGTCTTTATCTCAATCTTGTCAAATAAGATTGCAGGTGCACTTTGTGCTACTGCTGTGAAGTTACCATCTAACTCACCGGTGCCTCTGTCTTCTTCATCATGATGTAAATCATGTTGTGCCACTTGGGATTCATTCTCCTTCCTCTGTAATCCAGAAACAAGTGAATTGATCTCAGAAAAGCCAGAAGCAGCATTTTGCTCTTCAGTCTTGTTCATCAATGGAGCATTTTGCTCTTCGGTCCTCATCTCAATCTTGTCAAATAAGATTGCAGCGGGTGCACTTTGTGCCACTGTTGTGAAGTTACCATCTAACTCACCGCCAACTCTGTCTTCTTCATCATGATGTAAACCATTTTGTGCCACTTGGGATTCGTTCTCCTTCCCCTGTAATCCACTAATAAGTGAATTTACCACAGAAAAGCCGGAAGCAGCATTTTGCTCTTTAGTCTTGTTCATCAATGGAGCATTTTGCTCTTCAGTCTTGACCTCAATCTTGTCAAATAAGATTGCAGGTGCACTCTGTGCAATATCTGTGAAGTTACTATCCAACTCACCGCTGACTCTGTCTTCTTCTTCATGATGTAAACCATTTTGTGCCACTTGGGATTCGTTCTCCTTCCCCTGTAATCCACTAATAAGTGAATTTACCACAGAAAAGCCAGAAGCAGCATTTTGTTCTTCAGTCATGTTCATCAATGGAGCATTTTGCTCTTCTGGCCTGATCTCAATCTTGTCCAATAAGATTGCAGCAGGTGCACTTTGTGCCACTGCTGTGAAGTTAGCATTATCTAACTCACCACCACCTCTGTCTTCTTCATCATGTTGTGCCACTTGGGATTGGTTCTCCTTCGTCTGTAACCCACTACTAATAATTGAATTAATCCCAGAAAAGTCGGAAGCATTTTCATCAGGTTGAATGGAGGGTGTAGCATTCAACTTCAAGATTGAATCTTCCGGACCATTTAGTACTGAAATATTTGGATTACAATTACTAGTCAAAGTCTGAACAGCTGTTTCTTGGGGCACTGAAGGAGTATTGGTTTTGTTGACCCAAATGATAATGAAAATGAGAAAGATGATAGAGGAAGAGATGGTGAAGTAAAATACTATGGATCTAGTGGGTTTAAAAGAGAAACTTCTCTGCCTCTTCATAACTCAGTTTCTCAGTTGTTAGACTAACAGAGTGACAAAGGATACTCTTCCTGAAAAGAGTCAAAAAGAGAGCTCGGTAATATTTAGTAGTAATTGATATATATGTATATAAGTAGGCAGTGCTGCTAATTTGCTAATTAGCTAAAGCAGAGCATTGTTGTTGAATGTCGGTCCTTCATAAAAAACCATCTTCCTCAATTGATGATGATGATGATGTTGAAGCCTGAACTAGTTGAGGTGGTGAAGAATGGTGAATGTTACTTGGGTCGGTTGGTTTAGATGTGGTTATAGCGGATGAGGTGCGTGTGTTGCTGTGTGCATTCTAGTGTTGTGGCAAGCATGTGCATGAATTGGCTTCTTTTGCCTTTAATTTCACAAACTGCTGATATTCTATTTTGGATGGAAGACGTCCCTCCCTCCATCCCTGCATGCTTTGGTTTGGACCATGTGTTCCACGCAGGTTGAATGGCAACCACTTATTAGTTAACCACAAAAAACTTGGAATTCAATGGTATTCCATCACAATTATTAAGAAAAAACAAGAACAGATTCCATCCAAATGACATGTGTGTCCATAATAATCAAATTCTCCTTCCTTTGCAAATCCTTTTTTCCCTCTTCTGATTTCACCTTGCTGTGGTAGTAGTAGTAAATTAGATTAGTAGTTGGTTTCTTCAATTGCAAGTGATACGATACCCTCAAAATCTTCGATGGGAATGGTTATGATGAAGAGAGCATGTCAGGAGAGTAATATTCTTTTTGCACTAAAACATATGCATCATGGATGTGATGAGGTCCAACGCCTCGTGGTGTAGTGGGCGAAAGGAGCATTATCCCTATTTTGTAGTCTACCTAGCTAGCCTTTTGTTTTGTTTTGTTTTTTGGATACATTAGCTAGCGTTTAGAGAGAGAGAGAGAGAGAGAGAGAGAGTTTGGTACCTGTAAACAAATTCCATACAACTTACTAATGTCAATAATAAAATGATTGAAAGAGTTTGATACACATAAACCTGTTGGGAAAAGAATTTGTGTCTTGGTTGGTCAGTTAGTGAGCAAATGATGATACAACAATTCATTCCAGATATCAGGAAGACCAGGAAGACACCAATGACTACAATCTAGAATGCCTGATGGATGAGCATTGTGTCTTGGTTGGTCAGTTAGTGAGCAAATGATGATACAACAATTCATTCCAGATATCAGGAAGACCAGGAAGACACCAATGACTACAATCAAGAATGCCTGATGGATGAGCATCTATTCGATACTCTGACATGCTTGTTATGTTCAACAAAGTCACACGAGTTTTCATCTGCTTTATAACCTCCACTGCAATTCTATCTTTCTCGTTTGCAATTCCTGAATCTCGGAGGAGGGGTTCAGTAGCTCCTATACAACTCCGGCGTAATTTCCATTCACCTCCACTGTTCAATATAATCAAAGATTAATTACCCAAAAACAAAACAAACCTGAAATGCTGCATATAACAACACATTCTGGAGGCACATAATAACAACCTGAAATGCGTTGGCGATGAAGTTCGAAAGAAAACTTGGGTTTTGCTTGGATCAGTGTGTTTATCAACCCATGATGCCCAGGTCATCATACCTTTTCTGAGGGCTGTATAAACATCAAGATATGGATGAATTTGGTCCCCTTCCTGGTAGAAATTAACCCTGCACATTGATTTCAATCTCACAACAATGAGCATGGTATTATTGGTAGGCTGCTAGCTAGCTACTACTTATTAATTACTATAGCCTAGCTAAGCTATATGTCCTGAAAATTAATAAAGCTTATCCTTAGTGTAGTTCACTATAATACTCAATAATGATGGTTTTGACTGACCCAGCGTTAGTTTTTGAATCGGTCCACCAATGTGCAGTGTCGAATACCACAATATCAGCTCCTCTCCATCTAGATGAGCGGTGATCAATGGAATCAATTCGCAAGGTTGGGACCGGCTTCTTCCCTACTCTTTTCATGCTTTTATCAACCAAGAAAACGGATGGGGAAAATTCAACTTTACACTTGTAATCCTGTGGAAAACAATGATCAACTACATCACAAATTATGAAGAGAAGACCTGAAATGTGAAACGACATCAATAGCAAACGAAGCGAAGAGAAGAACTATGAAGATTCATTATTTATTACCACAAAGCTCAAACTATACTTCCCCTTCTCATGTTTGATTCTGGGCCTATTTGGATCTCTTATATCTCCCACTAACATGCACACCATGGATTCAAATTGATTCCTATTGATGGAATCGCCCACATAAAGTAGCCTTTTCCCTCTCAACAGTTCCAGCATTTTTTTTGCATTGAACCTATCATATAGATAAAATGTTATATATAGCAGGCCAGATACAGTACTGTAATTAAAATTATGAACAAGGAAGTAAAGTACCTTGGAATGTCACAGTCTTGTGGTTGCCACCTCCACCTCATGTAGTCTTGGTCTGATCTCCCATTTCCTTGACAGTCAAAACCTTCAAATATGAAAGGACATGAACTATTTGTGTACAAGGGATAGCTCTTATCATACACCCACCTCCCTCTTGTACTAAAATCACATCCTCCTTTTATTATTATTTTCTTGTCTTCAGCCTGCACCTCCTCGCTACTTGAAACTTGAGTCTTTTGATCAAATGAAGTTGTTCTGTTGTTCTTGGGGACCTCGCCACTTGAAACTTGAGTATTTGGATCAAATGAAGTTCCCCTGTTTTTCTTGTTCTTTCCCCTCCTCCTTCTACTTTTGACTTCAATCCTTCTAATCAATCCAGCATTTTGCTCTTCAGTCTTGTTCATCAGTGGAGCATCTTGCACGTCAGCCTTGTTCATTAATGGAGCAGTTTGCTCTTCAGTCTTGTTCATCAGTGGAGCATATTGCTCAACAATCGTATTCAACAGTGGAGCATTTTCCTCTTCAGTCGTATTCCGCAATGGAACATTTTGCTCTTCAGTCTTGGTCATCAATTGAGCACTTTGCTCTTCAGTCATATTCATCAACGGAGCATTTTTCTCTTCAGTCTTGGTCATCGATTGAGCAGTTTGCTCTTCAGTCTTGTTCATCAATGGAGTATTTTGCTCCTCAGTGCTGAGCTCAATCTTGTCAAATAAGATTGCAGGTGCACTTTGTGGCGCCACCGCTGTGAAGTTTAACTCAACCCTGTCTTCTCCAGCAGTTTGCTCTTCAGTCTTGTTCAATGGAGTATTTTGCTCTTCATTCTTCATCTCAATCTTGTCAAATAACATTGCAGGTGTACTTTGTGCCGCTGCTGTGAAGTTACCGTCCAACTCACCACCGCCTCTGTCTTCTTCATCACGTCGTGGCACTTGGGATTGGTTCTCCTTCGTCTGTAACCCACTACTAACAAGTGAATTCATCCCAGAAAAGCCAGAAGTATTTTCATCAGGTTTACTGGGGACAAATTCTTCCGGGCCATTTACTGTAACTGAAATGTTTGTATTGAAATTACCAGTCAAATTAGTGTGAACAGGCACAGCGCCTATAGGTGGTCTGAAACCCGAAACGAGTGAGGATGTGTTGAACTGTAGACAGCTGCCTATTTCTTGGGCCTGTACCACTGAATTAGAAGGAGTGGTTTTGTTGACCCAAATGATTATGAAAGTGAGAAAGATGATAGAGGAAGAGAGGCTAAAATATAATACCAAGGATCTAGTGGGTAATTTAAAGAAGAGACTTGGCTGCCTCTTCATAATTTGTGATCAGTTTCTCACTTGGACTGAGAGAGTCTAGAAAAAGTAGCAAGGCTTGGCTTGTACAGCAAACTAGCAGAATAAGTGATTAGGCAGTAAGTACCGACTAATTTGCTAAAGCAGAGCAGTTGCTTTGCTAATTGGGAATGTGTGTGGTGGGTTTTTCATAAAATAAAAACCATCTATTTGTCTTTCATTATTTTACATCATTGTTGGAAGCTCAAGGCTTAAGTGGAGAATGATGAATGTTACATGGGTTGGTTTAGATAGCGTTGTAGGAAGCGGATGAGGTGCGTGTGTTGCTGTGTGCATGACAATGTTGGCATATGCATGAATTGGCTTCTTAGTGAATGAAAGGAAGACCATTCATTCCAATTTCCATGCAGATTGAATAGTAACCACAAACAAAGAACTTGGAATTCACGCATGTCTTATTCCATATATATAAAAAAAAACAAAAGAAAAATCAAACGAGACATCATAACTGCATGTAAAATGACATTCAAACCCTCATATTCTGGAGACGAGGTCAAGGGTGTTCGACAAAATGCTTCTAAGAAAGCAAAGCAAAGTGGTGTGCAGTCCTGGGCATCTTAGCTAGCTTGAACTGGTTATTAGAAATTACAAGTTTTGGTAATTAATTAAATAATATATAAGGTCTTTCTCTTCAAAATCAATGTTTGACAGCCTCTCGATTTTGCCTCATGGGAAAATTCCTGGAGACATCATACATGGCAAAATCATATCAAAATATCTGATAGAGTAGAACATGAATGTATGATATGATGGTGGATGACCATCAATTCTATATTCTGACAAGCCAGTTATGTTCAAGAAAGTCACACGAGTTTTCATCTGCTTTATGACCTCCTCTGCAATTACATTTTTCTCAGAATAAGAGGAGCTTGGTGCCTGTAAACAAATTCCGTAGAACTTACTAATGAAAATAATAAAATGATTGAAAGAGTTTGATACACATAAACCGATTGGGAAAAGAATTTTGTGTCTTGGTTGGTCAGTTAGTGAGCAAATGATGATACAACAATTCATTCCAGATATCAGGAAGACCAGGAAGACACCAATGACTACAATCAAGAATGCCTGATGGATGAGCATCTATTCGATACTCTGACATGCTTGTTATGTTCAACAAAGTCACACGAGTTTTCATCTGCTTTATAACCTCCACTGCAATTCTATCTTTCTCGTTTGCAATTCCTGAATCTCGGAGGAGGGGTTCAGTAGCTCCTATACAACTCCGGCGTAATTTCCATTCACCTCCACTGTTCAATATAATCAAAGATTAATTACCCAAAAACAAAACAAACCTGAAATGCTGCATATAACAACACATTCTGGAGGCACATAATAACAACCTGAAATGCGTTGGCGATGAAGTTCGAAAGAAAACTTGGGTTTTGCTTGGATCAGTGTGTTTATCAACCCATGATGCCCAGGTCATCATACCTTTTCTGAGGGCTGTATAAACATCAAGATATGGATGAATTTGGTCCCCTTCCTGGTAGAAATTAACCCTGCACATTGATTTCAATCTCACAACAATGAGCATAATATTATCGGTAGGCTGCTAGCTAGCTACTACTTATTAATTACTATAGCCTAGCTAAGCTATATGTCCTGAAAATTAATAAAGCTTATCCTTAGTGTAGTTCACTATAATACTCAATAATGATGGTTTTGACTGACCCAGCGTTAGTTTTTGAATCGGTCCACCAATGTTCAGTGTCGAATACCACAATATCAGCTCCTCTCCAATGATATGAAATGCGATCAATGGAATCAATTCGCAAGGTTGGGACCTGCTTCTTCCCTACTTTTTTCATGCTTTTATCAACCAAGAAAACGGATGGGGAAAATTCAACTTTACACTTGTAATCCTGTGGAAAACAATGATCAACTACATCACAAATTATGAAGAGAAGACCTGAAATGTGAAACGACATCAATAGCAAATGAAGCGAAGAGAAGAACTATGAAGATTCATTATTTATTACCACAAAGCTGAAACTATACATCCCCTTCTCATGTTTGATTCTGGGCCTATTTGGATCTCTTATATCTCCCACTAACATGCACACCATGGATTCAAATTGATTCCTATTGATGGAATCGCCCACATAAAGTAGCCTTTTCCCTCTCAACAGTTCCAGCATTTTTTTTGCATTGAACCTATCATATAGATAAAATGTTATATATAGCAGGCCAGATACAGTACTGTAATTAAAATTATGAACAAGGAAGTAAAGTACCTTGGAATGTCACAGTCTTGTGGTTGCCACCTCCACCTCATGTAGTCTTGGTCTGATCTCCCATTTCCTTGACAGTCAAAACCTTCAAATATGAAAGGACATGAACTATTTGTGTACAAGGGATAGCTCTTATCATACACCCACCTCCCTCTTGTACTAAAATCACATCCTCCTTTTATTATTATTTTCTTGTCTTCAGCCTGCACCACCTCGCTACTTGAAACTTGAGTCTTTTGATAAAATGAAGTTGTTCTGTTGTTCTTGGGCACCTCGCTACTTGAAACTTGAGTATTTGGATCAAATGAAGTTCCTCTGTTTTTCTTGTTCTTTCTCCTCCTCCTTCTACTTTTGACTTCAATCCTTTTACTCGATGCAGCATTTTGATCTTCAGTTTTGTTCATCAGTGGTACTGGAGCCTTTTGTTCTTCAGTCTTGATTTCAATCTTGTCAAATGAGACTGCAGGTGCACTTTGTGCCACTTCTGCCACCTGGGACTCGTTCTCCTTCCTCTGCAACCCACTAACATGTGAATTAATCCCAGAAAAGCCAGAAGCAGCATTTTGCTCTTCAGTCATGTTCATCAGTGGAGCATCTTGCACTTCTGTGTTGTTCATTAATTGAGAAGTTTGCCCTTCAGTCTTGTTCATCAGTGGAGCATATTGCTCTTCAGTCTTGGTCATCAATTGAGCACTTTGCTCTTCAGTCTTGTTCATCAATGAAGCATTTTGCTCTTCAGTCATATTCATCAATGGAGTATTTTTCTCTTCAGTCTTGGTCATCGATTGAGCAGTTTGCTCTTCAGTCTTGTTCATCAATGGAGTATTTTGCTCTTCAGTGCTGAGCTCAATCTTGTCAAATAAGATTGCAGGTGCACTTTGCGGCGCCACCACTGTGAAGTTTAACTCAACCCTGTCTTCTTCATCATGTTGTGCCAGTTGGGATTGGTTCTCCTTCCCCTGTAACCCACTAATAAGTGAATTAACCCCAGAAAAGCCAGAAGCAGCATTTTGCTCTTCAGTCTTGTTCAATGGAGTATTTTGCTCTTCAGTCTTGTTCAATGGAGCGCGGATCAATTTCAGAAACCCTTTCGTGCAGGGCCCTAAATTTCCGCCTTCCAAAAGCTTCTCACTTCGAATTTAATCTTGGGGTGTGTCAAAGTGTTCACCTTGAGCTATTCTGGAACAAAAGAAGGGTTAGGGTTAGAGGAGGTGGCAGGGAGGGTGGAGATTAAATTTTAAAGGTTGCCAGTATAGCGGGGCGGTATGTTTGTGATCTCAAAATAGAAAGAAGTTGAGGTGTGAAAGGACGATATTACCCTCAGTAGACGACTCACGTGCCTCTGAAGTGTTTTTTTTTTACGGGCATTTGGATGGAATTGGGGAAAACCTAACGGCAGGGGTGAAATTGGCAATTAAATTTAATACGAAGGCTAAATTGGCTGAAAAAAAATTTCAGGGTGGACATTTCGACAAGCCAAATAGTCCAGGGGGTTTTCAACCCTTTACCCTATAATTAATCTACCTATGAATATGAATGTATGATATGATGGTGGTGGTTTAGTCCATTCCAACTTTCAACCCGAAAAGACTGCCTACCTCAACAAAAACAACATGCCTTCTACTAAATTAGGCTTATCCCATCCCATGCCAAGCATGGCCTGTACCACTGAATTAGAAGGAGTGGTTTTGTTGACCCAAATGATTATGAAAGTGAGAAAGATGATAGAGGAAGAGAGGCTAAAATAGAATACCAAGGATCTAGTGGGTAATTTAAAGAAGAGACTTGGCTGCCTCTTCATAATTTGTGATCAGTTTCTCACTTGGACTGAGAGAGTCTAGAAAAAGTAGCAAGGCTTGGCTTGTACAACAAACTTGCGCAGTAAGTACTGACTAATTTGCTAAAGCAGAGCAGTTGCTTTGCTAATTGGGAATGTGTGTGGTGGGTTGTTCATAAAATAAAAGCCATCTATTTGTCTTTCATTATTTTACATCATTGTTGGAAGCTCAAGGCTTAAGTTGAGAATGATGAATGTTACATGGGTTGGTTTAGATAGCGTTGTAGGAAGCGGATGAGGTGCGTGTGTTGCTGCGTGCATGACAATGTTGGCATATGCATGAATTGGCTTCTTTTGCCCTTCCACTTAACGTTAGTGAATGAAAGGAAGACCATTCATTCCAATAGAGAGAGAGAGAGAGAGAGAGAGAGAGAGAGAGAGAGAGAGAGAGAGAGAGACTTTGGGCCATTAAACAAATAATGTAGAGGTTACTAATGCATGAAAATAGAGCCCACGACCAGAAAAAAGAGATCCACTAAAGCCCAGACAGAAATTGTAGACAAGAATGTAGTCCAATTGATCATTGCCAATTCCGAGCTTAAAGGCCTCATTTATTGGTAAAAAGGACAGCCCAGATGAACTAGCCCATTACAAAAAGAGTGGTTTGCTGATCCATAAATCAAATTAAAATTCCCAAGTTCAACATATAATTAAGGGTAAATGGTCTAATACCCCCTGACCTATCACGCTAATTGAAATGTCCACCCCGA